CTGCGCTGTCTCAAAGGATGAGTCAAATCTCGCCAGGCAAAGGCGGGAGGGACAACAGTTTGACTGAGAAAGCCACAAGGACTTGTTTTCCCCACTTTGTGGGTCATTTTCCTACCTGCACCATTGACCCCTGAGGGACAAATGGTGTGTCTGACCTAAAGTGCTGAGCAGAGACATAAAGGGTCCTCAAGTTCTAGTTTGAATGACAGAATACTTGAGAATTAATTCATCTTAGGAAAGCATGTGCAATAACATATCTTGTTTTCAGAGAAGCTAATCCTAAATATTTTGATATACATGCTAGGAGTGTCCCATAAAACATATGTGCCTAGAGGGATTCCTTTGATTCTTTGGGGGGCATGTTCATATTTACTTCTGAGTTTGGCATGCCCATGGCCTATGTCAACATTGTCTGTTACAGTGCTGGAAGATGAGCCCCTTAGGTTGGAAGGCACTCAAAGTACAACTGGGGAAGAGCTGCCTCCTCAAAGTAACAACAACAACAAAAAACCCATTGCCACTGAGTCAATTCTGACTCACAGCGACCCTATAGGGCAGAGTAGAACTGCCCCATGGGGTTTCCAAGGAGCAGCAGGTGGATTCAAACTGCAGACCTCTTGGTTAGCAGCTCAATGCTTACCCACTGTGCCACCAGGGCTCCCCTCCTCAGAGTAGTGTTGACCTTAATGACGAGAATGGGTAAAGCTTTCAGGACCTTCATTTGTTGATGTGGCATGACTCAAAATGAGAAGAAACAGCTGCAAACATCCATTAATGATTGGAACATGGAATGTACAAAGTATGAATCTGGGAAAATTTGGAAGTTGTCAACAATGAAATAGAACATACAAAGATCAATAGCCTTGGCATTAGTGAGCTGAAATGGACAGGTATTGGCCATTTTGATTTGGAAAATCATATGGTCTGTTATGCCAGGAATGACAAATTGGAGAAGAATGGCATAGCATTCATCATCAAAAAGAGCATTTCAAGATCTATCCTGAAGTACAATGCTGTCAGTGATAACATAATATCCGTAAACCTACAAGGAAGACCAGTTAATACGACTATTACTCAAATTTACACACCAACTACTAAGGCCAAAGATGAAGAAATTGAAGATTTTTACCAAATTCTGCAGTCTGAAAATGATCAAACATGCAATCAAGATACATTGATAATTACTGGTGATTGGAATGCGAAAGCTAGAAATAAAGAAGAAGGATCAGTAGCTGGAAAATATGGCTTTCGTGATAGAAATGATGACAGAGATTGCATGACAGAACTTGGCAAGACCAACGACTTATTCATTGCAAACACCTTTTTTCAACAACATAAACAGCAGCTATACACATGGACCTGGCTGAATGGAATACACAGGAATCAAACTGACTATATCTGTGGAAAGATACTATGGGGAAGCTCATTATCATTCATCAGAACAAGGCCAGGGCCGACTGTGAAACAGACTATCAATTACTCATGTGCAAGTCTGTTGAAGCTGAAGAAAATTAAAACAAGTCCATGAGCGCCAAAGTACAACCTTGAGTATATCCCACCTGAATTTAGAGACCCTCTCAAAAATAGATTTGACCCATTGAACACTAATGACTGAAGACCAGATGTGTTGTGGATGTCATCAAGGACATTATACATGAAGAATGCAAAAGGTCATTAAAAAGACAGGAAAGAAAGAAAAGACCAGAATGGATGTCAGAAGAGACTCTGAAACTTGCTCCTGAATGTACAGTAGCTAAAGTGAACGAAAGAAGAGATGAAGTAAAAAGCTGAACAGAAGATTTCAAAGGGCAACTCGAGAAGACAAAGTAATATAATGAAATGTGCAAAGACCTGGAGTTAGAAAACCAAAAGGGAAGAACACATTCAGCATTTCTCAAGCTGAAAGAACTGAAGAAAAAATTCAAGCCTCGAGTTGCAATACTGAAAGATTCTATGGGCAAAATATTGAACAACACAGAAAGCACGAAAAGAAGATGGAAGGAATATACAGAGTCACTGTACCAAAAATAATTAGTTGACCTTCAGCCATTTCAGGAGGTAGCATATGATTAAGAACCAATGGTACTGAAGGAAGAAATGCAAGCTGCACTGACGGCATTGGTGAAAAACAAGGCTCCAGGAATTGACAGAATACCAACTGAGGTGTTTCAACAAATGGGTGCAATGCTGGAAGTGTTCACTTGTCTATGCCAAGAAATTTGGAAGATGGCTACCTGGCCAATGGACAGGAAGAGATCCATATTTGTGCTCATTCGAAAGAAAGGTGATCCAACAGAATGCGGAAATTATCAAACAATATCATTTATATCACACACAAGTAAAATTTTGCTGAAGATCGTTCAAAAACAGTTGCAGTATTACACTGACAGAGAACTGCCAGAATTCAAGCCGGATTCAGGAGAGGGCATAGAATGAGGGATATCATTGCTGATGTTAAATTGATCTTGGCTGAAAGCAGAGAATACCAGGAAAATGTCTACCTGAGTTTTTTTTTTTGTCTATGCAAAGGCATTCGACTGTGTGGATCATAACAAATTATGGATAACATTTTGAAGAATGGGAATTCCAGAACACTTACTTGTGCTCATGTGGAACCTATATATAGACCAAGAGGCAGTCATTCAAACAGAACAAGGGGATAATGTATGCTTTAAAATCAGGAAAAGCATGCGTCAGGGTTGTATCCTCTCACCACACTTATTCAATCTGTGTGCTGAGCAAATAATCCAAGAAGCTGGACTAGGTAAAGAAGTACGTGTCATTAGGATTGTAGGAAGACGCATTAACAACCTGCGATATGCAAATGATACAACCTTGCTTGGGGAAAGCTGAGAGGGATTGAAGCACTTATAGATGAAGTCAAAGACTACAGCCTTCAGTATGGATTACACTTCAACATAAAGAAAATAAAAATCCTCACAACTGGACGAATAAGCAACATCATGATAAACGGAGAAAATATTGAAGTTGCCAAGGATTTCATTTTACTTGGATCCACAATCAATGCCATGGAAGCAGCAGTCAAGAAATCAAACAACATATTGCATTGGGCAAATCTGCTACAAAAGACCTCTTTAAAGTGTTAAAAAGCAAAGATGTCACTTTGAGGACTAAGATGCCCCTGACCCAAGCCATGGTATTTTCAATCACCTTACTTGCATGTGAAAGCTGGACAATGAATAAGGTAGACTGAAGGAGAATTGATTACTTTAAATTACGGCATTGGTGAAGAATGTTGAATATACCATGGACTGCCAGAAGAACAAACAAATCTGTTTTGGAAGAAGTACAGTCAGAATGCTCCTTAGAAGGGAGGATGGCGAGACTTTGTCTCATGTACTTTGTACATGTTGTCAGGAGGAACAAGTCCCTGGAGAAGGATATCAGGCTTGGTAAAGTAGAGGGTCAGCGACAAAGAAGAAGACCCTCAATGAGATGGATTGACACAGTGGCTGCAATAGTAGGCTCAAACATAGCAAAGATTTTGGGCATGGTGCAGGACTTGGCAGTGTTTTATTCTGTTGTACATAGGATCGCTATGAGTCAGAACAGACTCGGGATCACTTAACAACAGCAACATGGCCTATGTTGGTGTTAACTGTAATAGACTACATATGCAACATCCTTCCTTGGTTGTCATATTCAAGGTCCAACTTGCAGGGCAACATCATGTCAGTACCAGCTGCTGTTGAGTCAAGTCTTACTCATGGCAACCCCATGAGTGACAAGAGTAGAGCTGTGTTTCATAGGGTTTTTAATGGCTGATTTTTTGGAAGTAAATTAGCAGGCCTTTCTTCTGAGGTGCCTTTGTGTGAACTCAAACCTTTAGCCTTTTGGTTAGCACCCGAGTGTGTTAACCATTTGCATTACCCAGAGAATTCAGATATGGTTAATGAGACCCTGGCATTGTCTGAGTTGCTTGATGAGGTCCAGGATGGGCCTCTTGTGTTTACATTTCTTACTACTCTGACTTAATATATAATGTGTTTGTATTACTGACTGCCTTTATAACCATTGTCACATTTAATCTCTTTTAATTTCACCTTTTAAGGGACATAGTGAGAGGAGCAGTTTATTACAGATGCCCCATTTTTCCCTTTTACTAAGTTTCAGGCATTATGTGCAGTCCCTGCTTTTCCCTCTTTACACCACTCTGGTTACTAGGCTAATCTGGATCCCGCCTGCCAGTTGCCCACAAAATTAGAAATTTCAATAGTCTGCTTCTTTTTAAGTGCTTTTTGACTATCATTTGTACCTCAAACTCTGAATGTTCAAAATGGAACTCACAATTTTTCTCCCTAAATCTGTTCCTAATCCAATAGTCATCTTACTGCTAAACTCCGCTTTCTACCCACTTCCTCCAGCCAGAAACCTGGGAGTCATCCAAAATGCCTGTGTATCTAATTGGTCACAAGAATCAAACACATTTTAGTGTATCACTCTCTTATTTAAAACCATTTAAGGAGTCCTTCAAAATAAATTTAAATCTTTTTTCATATCATAGGAGAACCCGATGGTCTGCTTCTTGCTTCCCTCTCTCCACCTTCATCTTTCATCAACACCTCACATGACCCTGCCTCCTCTTTCCTCCACCACCAACATACCATGTTCTAGCAAGTTCAGTGGATTTTTTTCATTCAGTTGGTATTACTGAACCCCTACTATGTGCCAGGTATTGTGTCTAACCCTGGAGTTATAGGGGTGAGCAAAAGACACATGGTTCTTAGCTTCATAAGACACACTCTCTGGTGGGGACGACAACCAGTTATTCTAATAAAGTATGAGGTGTCTTCTGATGGGTGAGGTGCTATGGGGACTTGCAGCACAAAAAGTGACCTCCGCTGGGGAACGGGAAGCCCTCTCAGAGGTGCTGCGTATGCTGAGGTTTGGAGGATGAACAGGATACAGTCACATGAAGGGAAAGTGAGAAGAGATTTCTGTCCTACTGGGTTTGATAATATAATGTTCTTCTTCCCAAGGCTATCTACAAAATGGTGGGCACTGTGATCATGATGAAAATGAATGAGGATGGCCTCACGCCGGAGCAGCGGGTAGACAAGATTTTCAGCAAGATGGATAAGAACAAAGATGACCAAATTACACTGGATGAATTCAAAGAAGCTGCAAAGAGCGACCCTTCCATTGTATTACTTCTGCAGTGTGACATTCAGAAATGAGCTGATGTCAACGCCATGGACTGCACAAAAGTCTCAATGTTCCATTCAGTCTGCAGCTATTTACACACACACACACACACACACACACACACACACAATATTGCTTGGACTACCTATAAATGGACTTGCTTCTTGTGTTTGAAACACTTGTGTGCATGAGAATGTCATTTGCTAATGAATTTTAAAAGCATATGTTATAAAACAAAAGAAAAACCTGCCACAATGTGATATGTGTAATATCATTTCATAAAAAAACTCCCTCTTCCTCCAAAGCCTGGGCAGAAATGTGCTGCAAAGAGTTATATGATTTCTTGTTCATGTTTTGCTAATGCTCGTGTCTCCTTGATTACATAATGTTAGTGGCACTGAGACCCCACGGTAATGTAACTTAATTATAAGCTGTGTCACCATTTTCCTGTAAAATAGTACTGGACAGACAAGCAGAGGGGCCCTTGGCTCCTGTGTCTGGTCCACACCCAAGAGCTTGTATTAGCAATGAATATAAATGTACATTTGCATGCCTTTTAGGTTTGCCTTAATTCTTACCTCATTTGCATCCTATCAATCTGGAAAGAGCTGTGTTGGATGAATGCAGTATAAAATTTAAAAGCCCTGCTAAAATGACTCCTTAATTAAATCTATCTATCTATCTATATATATATACTTATACACAAAGATATTATTTATTGGAAGTAAAAAAAAAGTAAGATGGAAGTGTATTGATTTTTGCTTGAATTTTCAAAGGCTCCCAAAGAGGTTGCAATAGATATCCCAAATAAATTTATAACATTTGACATTTTCCCCCCAATTCTTATTTTATAATTTTAAATTTGAAACAGATGTTCATAATTATCAAGGGTTGCTTTTAACCACTTACTAAATCTACCCTTAAACACACAACTTTGGAATTGAAAGGATGAATGACGACAAAAAGGAATAAAGCAACTTTCCAACTCTCCAATCTAGCCCTCAAAAGAGGGACAGTTGACATGGCATGTGAAGTTTAAATAAAAATAAGACTCACTCATCCTCAAAAAAAGGCTCATTAGAAGACAGTAGCTCGTATCTCAGAGTTACTTTGGTGCTAACAGCACGTAATGTCCTACACAGCTCTGTGGAGGATGCATTTAGGAGGCTGAGAAGCATCCTCCAGAAGAAACCAGTAGACTTCTTCTTGTGTCTTTCCAAATCAAAAGTATATTAGTTGTTATTTTTAATGAGGGAACAAAACTCTGGCCCCTTTGTCCTTAAGGAAAGAAAACAAAAGAGATTCCATCAAGAACTCTAAAGGCAGGTTTGCATTTTCACAACGTAGCTGGGGAAGCTCAGATTCTTTATATGGTGTCATCTAATAGAACTTTCTGTGATGACGGAAATGGTCTGTGTCTGCACTGACCACTAGCTACATATGACTACTGAGCACTTCAAATGTGGCTACTGTGACTGAGAAACAGAATTTTTAATTTAACTTTAATTAATTTAAATTTAAATTGCCACGTGTCTAGTAACTATTGTTATCAGGCAACAAAAGTACTATATTATACATTCAAGTACTTTTCATTGAGTGCTTTTTTCCTAAATACCCCTCCTTTGTCTGTCTTTGGATCATTACATAAGACCAGAGGCCAGGGCCTAATGATTCCATTCATGCATTCAACAAGAAACCGTGACCGAGCAAACTTCTCTAGAAACACTTAAGGTACCAGTGGTACCCCAAACACTGATAGAACCAAAATTCTGATCCCAGACAGCATAGTCCAATGTGCTAACAGAATGTCTTGGTGTCTTTAACCCTGTGCTTGGTGAGTTTACATAACGGAAAGGCCCCAAAATCAGGCAGGTTCAGTGCCTCCCAGCACTCTATCCCTCCACTAAGTGAGGGGGTCAGGGTAGGAGAAGACTTCAGAGCCTCTTCAGAAAGGCATCCAGTTAAATCAGGCTCTGATCATTTCATTCATAACAAATCTTTGCTGATCACCTACTATGCACCCAACAACACTCTTGTAGGGGGAAGCAGATAGTAAACAAACACACAAAAAATATTAAATTGTAAGAACTGTGAAGGAAAGCACAGAAAGATAAGAGGGGTGGAGAGTGAGAGGATATAGCAATGGTAATAGGGTGGTAAGTGACATCTGAGGAAAGGCCTGAAGGAAGGAAGTAAATCCTGTGGATATTTGGGGGCACTTATGGAAAACAAAACTGCCAGTCAACTTACCGGTTCTTTTTATAAATAAAACGGAGAAATTGGGCCAGCAAGTGAACATCGGATATATTAGCTTGTTTCAGTCCTCATTGCTCTGGTAGTGTAGACTGGTGCAGGGATCCTGGAGAGCAATCCAGCAGTAATTGGTTAAAATAAGTACACATATGCCCTCTAGCCCAGTATTTCCATTCCTGGGTATGTCGCCCCAAGAAACTGTCACAGAGAGTCATCAGGGACATGCTCCAGGATGTCCATGGCAGCTTTTGGTACTTGTAGGTATTGGAAGCAATCTCATGGTTTATTATTAGAGCAATGGGAAGGTAAAATATGTGGATGCATCCTCAGACATATGACACATCAGCTGGAAGCAACAGATTGATGTACATACAGCAAAATGGACATACTTTTAAATTGCTGAATGGGGAAAAAAGAAGCAATGAGATCTATTGCACAGTATAATGTATAGAAAGGAAAATACATTCTCACAAAACAAACAAACATGTTTTACAAGGACACATAAAATAAAAAGAAGCATCACATAATGGTTTCTTTGCGGGTGGGTGTGAATGGGAGTGGTCCAATTACTATTGCTCCATGACAACCTGCCCTCGAAACTTAGTGATTTAAAATAACAGCAATCCTTTTATTATTTCTCATGGATTCTATGGGACATGCATTTGAGAAGGGCTCCCCTGTATGGTTCTGGCTTGGAGTCTTTTATGCAGTTGCAGTCAGATGATAGCTGGAGCTGAAACAGGAGCCTGAAGCAACTGGGGGCAAATTCAGCATATCTGTTTCTCCTTATAGTCTCAGGACTTCTCCACATGGGCTGTTTTGTTCCTCACAGCATGGCGGCCTCAAAGCAGTCATATTACTTACATGGTGGTTCAGGGTTCCAGCATAAGTATTCCTGCAAAGAAGTTGGCAGTTTCATCACCTTTTCTGATTTAACCTCAGAAGTCATGAAGTATCACTTCCACAGCATTCTGTTGTTCATGAGCAAGTCACAAACCCATTCGTATTCAAGAGGGGAATTATACTCCATCTCTTGATGGGGTGTGGCAAGGTTCTAGAAAGAACATGTGGTATGGGAGATATTGTTGCCACCATCTTTGGAAAACACAATCTCACAGTCTGCCCTGTGGCCACAATTCACGTCCCTTACACATGCAAAATACACTCACCACCTCCCAAGAAACCCCAAAAGACTTATACCATTGTGGCTTTAGTGTAAGACTTGAGGTTCAAGATATCATCTAAAGGTTCCTCAGATGTGGTTTCTCAAGTACAGCACATTGAGTACTATTTTTCTTGATTCAAAGGCTTGTGAAACAAAGGGGTAATTTATCTCTCTGCCACCCACACCCAACGTACAATGGTGGGACAGGCATAGGGTAACTATAACAGACATATTTTTTCAAAAAGGGTAGAAATGAAAACCACATAGCAGTCCCTAGTTCATAGCAATTCTGAAATCCAGTCAGGTATATCTCGTAAGTTTCTTGATCAGGGCTTAGCCCTACTCTCTGGGCATTTTCTCCATGGCTCTTGAGGTTATGCATTTTGTGCTCTTGTTTTCATCCTCTGAGCCATCCTTCCTTTTTAATAAAAAAAAGTAGTCTGCATTTACAGCTAAGTAGTTTTCTCAGCCTACTACCTGCCCATAAAAGTTTAGGAATACAAAGTCTTCTTTTCATTTTGTACTGTCTCTGGCCTTTTCAGTCTAAGCTGATATAGTTATTTTAAAAACTTTTTGAGAAATCCCCTCTATTAGAAAAGAGCTTATTGTGAGATTGATGTGGAACAACACCTCTAATATTTTTAGAAGTCCTATTATTTAATGAAGAAGACCTGCAAGGCATGCTCTTGGAAGGCCTTTTATCTGTCTGAAAGGATCTAAGAGTGCTGCCTTAAATCTTTCAAAGGATCTTATAGTCCCAGCCTGGATTTGATTTTTTGCACTGAAGCTATTTCTTAATTTGAAAATCATTTGCCATTCGGAAGAGAATCTGGGAATAAGAAATAGTCCTGGCTCCTTTATATTTAACTGTTTGTTCTTTAGCTTATCTCTTCCCTCTCACACTTTGTCGTAGGCAACAAGAAAAAGCCAGGAGATACTTTTTATATTCTACCTAGAAATATCCTTGGCTAGATCACCTAGTTTTTAGGTACATATCCTGTTTTTCATGTTACAACAGATGGCAGTGTTGCCAAACATTCCACCACTGTATAACAAAATTCCACTTTCCTCCTGCTTCCAATTACATTCTCCTTACTTTCCTTTAGCCCTCACTGAAAACATTCTTGAGGCCCTTTAGACATTTGCTAACACGCTCCTTGAGGCCCTCCAGGCTTCTTGGACAATCTCTTCAAGGTCCTTCTAGTCCATGCCACATAGTTTAGATTCTTATTATGGTATTCTATTTCCAGACACCAAAATCTGTTCCAGTTACTATAATCTGTTCCAGTTACTATTCAAATGTAATAAATCACCTCAAAACATAGTGACTTAAAACAATAATCTCTCATGATTTTTGTGGGCCAGGAATTCAGGACCATGTTAGCTGGGCAGTTCTGGCTTGGGATCCTTCATGCAGTTATAGTGAGATGGTGGCTCCCAAGCTGGAAAATCGGGGGCTGCAGCAGCTGAGGGCTGGCTAGGCATCTCTCTCTCTCTTCATGGAGTTTCAGGGCATCTGCATGTGGTGTTTCCACATGGGCTAGTTTAGGCTTCCTCACTACATGACAGCCACAGGTAAGTCAGCTTCCAGGGCAGTACAGGACTCCAGCATGAGGATTCCAGTGATAAAGGTGGGAGTCTTGTTGCCTTTTCAGACGTAACCTTGGTAGTCACAGTCATTTCTGCTCCATTCTATTGGTGATAAGTGATTTACAAATCTGCCCAGATTGAGAAGGGAATTAGACTCTACAAAGAAAGGTTTTGGAAGAACATGGGTGGGGTCTATTATTGGGGCCATCTTTGGACAATACAATCTGCTACAGAGAAAATGGAGATAAAAGGAAATAAATACTGCATGGACCAATGACGAAGGTGAGCCATAAACTGAGGACTATGCTTAACTCAGTTCTCTGCTATTGAGTTCATTTAAACACACAAATACCTTAACAACCAGGACTTTCCTGGATCTTGATAACCAACCACTCTAGTGGTGACTTTGGAAAGGACAGGCTTCCTCTAATCATTCAAATGGGCTTGGCTTAGCTCAGCTGCCATTTTGATTACCATGTTAATTAGCTGCTTAACACCTGCTGCTGTTCTGAAGGGAAACTACCTCCAAATGTCTCAGCCTCAACTTTTTCTGCATTTAGAAGTCCCAAGTTTCTGTGTTTCCTCTCTTCCTTATTTCTTGAATAATTCTAAGTTATTTTAAGAAGGGAACCATATTGCCTGAGGGCTTCATTTTTCCTGTACTTCACTCTTTCAGGATTGCAGTCTCTGGATGAATAATATGAACTATTTTCTTAAAGAGGCCAGATGCATATTTCCTTCACAGAAACCATGTAAGAAAGTAAAATACAGACTTGAATAGATGTCTTCAGAGAGTCTAACAGGAAATGAAGTGTAGAAGTCTAGCAAGAAACTGATAGTCAATTAAGCTTCTAAACATAACTTTCCCTTAGCTCCTTCCTTGTAAGCAGCTAAGTCTCTCAAATATATTCTGGACATGCAATTTGGATTTTCCCCAGCCTTTTGTAGGTGAGCTCTTGATCTCTAGACTCTTGCTATCGTTTTCCAAGTTCTTATACTTACCAACATAACGTTAGTTACCCGTCAAGTATCTCGATTAGGGAGTCTCAACAGGCATCTTAAACGTAGCACGCTCAAACCCAACCTTTTCCTCTTCTC